CTGTTAACAAAAAGTGCACCCAATCGTCTCCCGCCCCCAGTTGATTTTGTACACAAAAACGGGGAAGTGCTTCAAAAATTTGATGGACTTTGAACCAAACAAGTAAATTGAAGTGTCCTTTAAGACATACAATATAAATTTTTTCCCAGAAGACCAAAAATTGAAACCTAAGGAATTTTTTTTTGGGTAACTTGTTTTGTTGCAGAAGGCGGCTCCATTTTGACTCGATTGGAAATTTAAAACTCAGCCACAGGCAACATTTGATGGCATTAGTCATTCACCAAAGCCTAGACTTTCCAAATCTTCCAAAATAAAAGACCTTTCTATTTTTGAACCTATAAACTTGCGAGTTTCCTTGATGGTTCAGTTTGGATTTTGTTCAAATTTAAACTGGATTTTAGGTAATGAGGGACATGCTGAAAAAGATTCGCGAAGTCTTGGAGGTGCTTGTCGTTGGGTCGATCCTAACAGGTTAGATTTGTCGACTGACTGTGTGTACCATTTATTTATGGCCATAAGCATAGCAAGGAGAACCCATTTATTATATGCATTGGTGCAAATCTATCTAATAGCCATTTCTCTTACGAGGAAACGATCAGAGCGCAAAGTTCCGAATCGTTATGAAACTGTATGGACCTTATAGAATCGATCATGCTGATCAAAATGAGCTAAAAATTAGCTGCCAACCACCATGCAAACGCGAGATAGTTTACATTAAAGTTTTTGTAATTTCCTCAAAAGGCGATTTGTTCGACCAGCAAACCTGACAGACGAATGGATAAGACCATGGCATACAAGGCGAGTATGATTTATCTTTTGCCTGGGTTCGATCCCCACTAGGACATTTCATTTCCTTTTAATGTTTTTTTTATGGTATATCAGAGATGTGTTTTTTAATTTGAATAGGCTAGTTCAGTGATATACAGTATATAGAAACGTATCAAATGGCGATTAGAGGACCCGTATATCACTGAACTAGCCTTTTCAAAGAAAAACACATCCCCGATACACAAATGAAGTGATTTTGGGGTTATTTTTGATTTAATAAATGATTTTGAGAAAAAAAATTAAAAAACAGAGAAATAAATCATAAAAAGGAAAGGAAATGTCCTAGTGGGGGTCGAATCCAGACAAAAGATAAACCATACTCGCCTTGTATACCATGCTCTTATCCATTTGCTCGTGGAACAAATCGCCTTTTAAGGAAATTACAAAAACTTTAATGCAAAAGATCTCGCGTTTGCATTCTTGGCTTCTGATCTGATCTTGCCTTCTGACCCTGCCTCTAAAGCAACCCTGATCTAGTCAGGTCTAGGTAGAACATTTAAATTCATTTAATTTAATTTAAATTTAATGTAAACTATCTCGCATTTGCGTGGCTGTTGGCAGCTAATTTTTAGCTCATTTTGATCAGCATGATAGATCCTATAAAGTCCATACAGTTTAATAACGATTCTGAACTTTGGGAAATGGCTTTTAGATAGATTTGCACAAATACATATAAGAAGGGGGTTCTCCTTGCTATGCTTATGGCTATAAATAAATGGTCCACACAGTCAGTGGACAAATCCAACCTGTTAGGATCGACCCAACGACAAGCACCTCCAAGACTTCGCGAATCTTTTTCAGCATGTCCCTCATTACCTAAAATCCAGTTTAAATTTGAACAAAATCCAATCCAAAGAATTGTGCTGGTTTTGATTGAAAGAAAGCAGTGACCCATTTTTGATGTCATCAATGTTCTGGAACTTGTGGCCTTCGAGTGAATGCCGTATACTTCGAAAGAAATGGTAGTCAGAAGAGGACATATCTTAACTCTAAGGCGGATGAACTAGAAGTTCCCAGCCCAATTGCTCAATTTTCTCTTGCGTAATTTTGGCAACGCGAGGACGGGCATTGTCGTGTAGCAATTGCACTGTTGTATGATCGATTCCTTTCGAGAGAATAACCGCGTCCATGCGATCAAGTTGTTGGACGTAAAGATTTGCATCAACAATCTGACCAGAAACTAACACTTAACACTTCGAAATGAACCAAGCCTCGGTTATTCAACCAAACCGACAGCATAACTTTCCTTCCGTGAAAATCCGGTTTAGGTATTGGCTTTGGAGTTTCACCCGGGTCGACCGATTTTCTTTTCCTTGTAATATTGTCATCATGAATCCATTTCTCATCAGAAGTTAAAAATGCATCCCATCCACTAATCTTGGAGATTCGAAGCAAATTTCCTGAACAAAGAATTCTGATGGCTTTGTTTGGATCGCTTAGTGAATGTGGAATCCATTTTCCAGCTTTATTGAGCTTGCCCAATTCATGCAAATAGTTTTCGATTGTTTTATGTTCCCAATTAAAATATCCCGCAAGTTCATTTGTAGTCGTTGTCACTTTCGATTCTCTGCTGCAAATCGTCGTTTGCCACAGCCTGTGAGGGATGTCCTCGTTCCAGATCTTTCAGACTTCCGTCACCCTCTCGAAATCTTTTGAACCAGTTTTGCCATTGATGAACAGTAATAGCATCTTTCCCAAATATGTTACAAAGTGATTCATGCGATTTCGTTGCTGTTTTTTCTTGTTTGAAATCGTACAGCATACAAATAGTCCAAATATTGCCCCGTCTGACTACCATTGATTTCAAAGTATTATTTTATTTCAAAGTTCACTCGAAGGCCACAAGTTCCAGAACATTTACGACATCAAAAGTTTCCATAATTTGCGTCAAAGATGGAAAAATGTTATTGATAGCTGTGGGGAATATATTGTTGATTAATTGTTCCTAGTTTATTTTTAAGAATGAATTTTGTTGTTGCACAAAAACGAATTTTCAATGTCGCCAGCCTAATGTTTAAAATCTACGAACATTTTTCTAATAGCTTCATGAGTTCGTGTAAAAATTTTAAACTTCATTCGTTTCATATAAGACTTTAAATGCGATTATGATTGAAAAAATGAAATTTGTCAAAAAATGTGCCCATTTTTGTTTGGCTAGATAACCTCACGTTTGCAATAATGGAGCTCAAAATGTACTTACTTTTATAGTAATTAACTCTATAAACGTATTAATGTAGATCAAGAAAAGCACAAGAGCACCGCCTTATGAATTCCCAGCAGACAAATCGGTGATAATTATCGCTTTTTATTGAGGAACTTGGACCTCCTTTGAACTTTTAAATATAGGGTTCCCCAAAAGTTTGGAAACTTTTCAAAATTGGTTTATTTTTGTGTTATTTATGCAATTCTTTTTGCATCTTATCTTCTATTAATTATTTGAATTTATTTTTGCCATCTCTGTTAACAAAAAGTGCACCCAATCGTCTCCCGCCCCCAGTTGATTTTGTACACAAAAACGGGGAAGTGCTTCAAAAATTTGATCGACTTTGAACCGAACAAGTAAATTGAAGTGTCCTTTAAGAAATACAATATAAATTTTATCCCAGAAAACCAAAAATTGAAACCTAAGGAATTTTTTTTTGGGTAACTTGTTTTGTTGCAGAAGGCGGCTCCATTTTGACTCGATTGGAAATTTAATTTGAACTCAGCCACAGGCAACATTTGATGGCATTAGTCATTCACCAAAGCCTAGACTTTCCAAATCTTCCAAAATAAAAGACCTTTCTATTTTTGAACCTATAAACTTGCGAGTTTCCTTGATGGTTCAGTTTGGATTTTGTTCAAATTTAAACTGGATTTTAGGTAATGAGGGACATGCTGAAAAAGATTCGCGAAGTCTTGGAGGTGCTTGTCGTTGGGTCGATCCTAACAGGTTGGATTTGTCCACTGACTGTGTGGACCATTTATTTATAGCCATAAGCATAGCAAGGAGAACCCCCTTCTTATATGTATTTGTGCAAATCTATCTAAAAGCCATTTCCCAAAGTTCAGAATCGTTATTAAACTGTATGGACTTTATAGGATCTATCATGCTGATCAAAATGAGCTAAAAATTAGCTGCCAACAGCCACGCAAATGCGAGATAGTTTACATTAAATTTAAATTAAATTAAATGAATTTAAATGTTCTACCTAGACCTGACTAGATCAGGGTTGCTTTAGAGGCAGGGTCAGAAGGCAAGATCAGATCAGAAGCCAAGAATGCAAACGCGAGATCTTTTGCATTAAAGTTTTTGTAATTTCCTTAAAAGGCGATTTGTTCCACGAGCAAATGGATAAGAGCATGGTATACAAGGCGAGTATGGTTTATCTTTTGTCTGGATTCGACCCCCACTAGGACATTTCCTTTCCTTTTTATGATTTATTTCTCTGTTTTTTAATTTTTTTTCTCAAAATCATTTATTAAATCAAAAATAACCCCAAAATCACTTCATTTGTGTATCGGGGATGTGTTTTTCTTTGAAAAGGCTAGTTCAGTGATATACGGGTCCTCTAATCGCCATTTGATACGTTTCTATATACTGTATATCACTGAACTAGCCTATTCAAATTAAAAAACACATCTCTGATATACCATAAAAAAAACATTAAAAGGAAATGAAATGTCCTAGTGGGGATCGAACCCAGGCAAAAGATAAATCATACTCGCCTTGTATGCCATGGTCTTATCCATTCGTCTGTCAGGTTTGCTGGTCGAACAAATCGCCTTTTGAGGAAATTACAAAAACTTTAATGTAAACTATCTCGCGTTTGCATTCTTAGCTTTTGATCTGATCTTGCCTTCTGACCCTGCTTTTAAAGCAACCCTGATCTAGCCAGGCCTAGGTAGAACATTTTCTTGAGCTCCAAAATCACACAAGCTGGTACTTGATGCCCGAAATTCCTATCGGAACATTGGAGGCTTTCTAACGCCAATTAATTGTCTTAGTCTTTCCAACTCATACTGGAATTGCATAACCAAAACTGGAGCAATGGAAAAGTTTAAGAAGAAAATTTAACTCTGTACCAAAATTGTTGGTGAATTTACTTTGAGCATTTCTTTATTATAAAAACAATGCTCCAATTCCAATTCCAGCTCTCGGCAGTGTTTTGGCAATGATCAAGTTTGATCTAATGCATCAACGTGCCCTCAGCTTCCAATCAGACCCAACTCAGCCAGGACTCCTTGAGATCAGCGGGGATACACTTTTGCGATTTCAAGCATTTTTGGAATCAGGAGGCGCCTTGGTGAATTTTGTTACAAAAAAGAATAAATTCATTTGCATCCAGGTGCTTTTTATTGGCGTTTTCACAAGCCTTTTGGCGACTTATTACTCGGCCAAAAATGATAACTTATTGCTAAGTGTTCGGTAAGTTACTGTAACTTTACTGAAGCCTTAGTTTAATGACAAAGGCATTTAAATAGCTACAGTATAAATTTTATTGGATCTTTCAAAAAAAAAACTTTTCAGGCTAATCCTAACGGGCGAAAATGTGCAACGATTCGTCTATACGATAATTAAAATGGCAAACTACTTGTGCACAGTCTTTTCGATCTCTGGGTAAAAATCTTATATCACTTGTATGTGATACTTAAAGCCTCTACTTAATAGTCTTATTGTTAATGTTATTACAAACAATATACCTGAGAATTGGCCCGAGATAGCGTAAGACATCAATGGATTGGCTCAAATTTTCTGCTTTCGGATGAAATACCTGAATTTTACCTGGTATTTGGATAAAGCCATCAAAAATATTTCCGCTTTTCTTAATATGAAGCATAAAGAGTCTTTTTCTCGAAGATTCCCCAAGAATCTGAGAATTTTCCTTGCTACTGGTTGGACCGGTTAGCTTTAGATGAAAAATCGTATACCAACCGCTTTGTTTTGAGTATATGCATTATATATTGAAAATTTCTTGAAAATTTCTATTGCAGATGTTCAATTGATGGCATCGCCGGCTCTATTCTCTACAATGGACGGAGTTTATCCATCATGATCGCGTTTTGTCAGATGTTCGTCTCATTCAGGTTTCAAAAACGTGCATTACTTCCGAAAAAATGTTTTTAGTCGTTTCATGGCCGTTTCTTTCGATGGAATATTCATCAGGTATACAACAAAACACGCCGTCCTCCAGTTTCTCATTTGCTACTCGATAGCGATTTCTCTTTTCTGCGTATCAGTGTTTATAGATGGTACAATTGTGAATATATATCTGTCGCCAACTCTGATATATTTCATGTTTACAATGGATCTTTTCACTTTTTCAAAGCTTCGAAAAGTAAGTTGAAGCAAGGATTCTCAAAAGATGTGAGACTTAGCTGAGTAACTCCAAAGCAGCTTCAATGGCGGAGAGACGTTTAATGATTCAGGTTGGTTCAGGTTCAAGACATTTAATGCGAAATTGGTTACATGAAAATCTAGTGGAAAAATGGTAATCTAAATTGGCTTTTTTCTAAACGCGGTTTTTTTAAATCTACAGTTTTGAATCATTCAATTGGATCTTCTGAAAATACAAAACACCTCACAAAACGCTTTTCATTCAGATGATCGGTAACTCAACATACTATTTTTTGAACTATTTTGTCTCAAGTCTGTTCACCATTGTACAGTATCCATTCTTTGGCTACTTCTTATCGAATGTGGCATTGCTGGTGAACTCAAATGTCTCCACATATATTTACACGCTTGGACTGAGGTTTTGTCGGACTTTCTCAGTCTTAACTTTGATACCTTTGTTTAGTTATATAAACATGGTATACTTGAAAAAGAAGCTGTCCTCAGGGAGTGAAAAAGAAAGGTACAACAACGCAGTTTCTCCTCGATCCGGCAAGAGTACACTGGTACAAGAGTACAAGAACTCTAACTCGACACCCAAAATCTGATTTCATTGATCGTTTTCGCAAAAAACATCTTTCAATTCAATTTATAGATGAAAACACATAAATCAAGAATAACACTCAAGGGAAATTCTCGACTTTCAGTTACAGAAGGCTGAGCCATTCACACAGAAACCACCATTTAAGTTGGCGTTTGCCGCACAGCAAGCGGCGACGCCGTTCTGAAAATGATTAACCTAGAAATGAGATAAGGAAATTGTGACAATGATGTACTTGACTAATTGTTCAATTTTTTGGGACAGTATTTTTTAAGTATTAAATCAAATTTAAAATCCGTGCATAGGTTTTGTTCAAGAATTTATTTTTTGTTTTGTTCAACCTGACGACAGAAATTTTGCATTCGGTCAGATAAGAGTTGTGACCAAGAAACAGACAAACACCTTCTACACGGTTCGCCCTTTTTGAAAACCCTTAATAGATGTTCCGTTTCAGCCAGAAGTCATGTGCTTCTATAGTGCCACATACAAATATTTCTTGAGTTCAATCTAGTTCAAATATTTCTTCAAAACACAATAAACCACGGGTTGGTGTAAATTTTTACTATGTGTACCAAAGAGACCCATTTCTTGACTTCCGTGGTACGGTAGCTTTCAGCTTTCAACCAAACACATAGAAACCTCCAGACCGTCGGTAGTTACGGGTCGCTCTTGAAAAATAGGTGCATTTTAGAAAAGGGCTACTTGACATATACACACTCTAGTGCTCCCACTCTCAGTCTAGCTTGGCCTCTATTCTTTCACCGACACCACTCATTTTATCATCTGTGCCATCGATTACTGTAACGAAACACCGGAAAAAGCTGTTTCCAATTTGTCGTTGTTCAACTTTGATGAACAATTTATTCCACATTATCGAGCCATTTTCCACACGGATCAATCATTCGAAGAAAGTACAATGGGATTCCCTTTCATTCGACACGACAAGTCTTCAGAGAGAACTAGTCGAATTTGTTTGCCCTTTCTCTTCTCAATGTACATAAAGTTAATTTTTTGAGAGAATTTTATCGATTTCGATAGAATCATTCTCTAACTGGATCGAGTTGAGAAGATGTTTTCCATCGAATTGCTCAATTCGATGCAATTCAAAGTGGAAATTTGGGAATCGAATCGCAAAATGCCTCCTGTAATTGGTTTATGAATTCTTTGTATTTTCATCTTGAATTGCATAAGTCTTCGAGTTTGAATTCTACTCATCCTGTTTCAAAATACGTTGTTCCAAGAAAAACCAAAACTAATCAAACGAAACTATTGTAAGTTCTGTCCAAGACAAATGAGTTTCCCAGGGGAAATTCTTTTGAAAGAATTCGAAATGTTAAAACGTTCATGTAGAGTTGCGATGAGAGAAATCGAAAACGGCAGAAAGATAAAAATTCCGTACAGAAATATGTGATTTCTGTGTGAGTTTTAGTTATTAGAATTGAACTTTCATTTATAACACCTTTTCTAACACCTTTTCTACTAGAGGGTGCTGCATCGACCGAACCAAGTGGTAGTCGGATCGGGCCAAGGCCGGGCCATATGGCGGATGAGGCAGAACTTCCCAGCCCAATTCTTCGATTTTCTGCTGAGTGATCTGCCTGGTGTGGGGTCGAGCCTTATCGTGGGGGAATCTTGTAGTCGCCGTGTTTATGCCTTGATGACGCAACGCCTGGTCCACGCGGCTCAATTGGGCTTTGTAGAGATCCACCGTGACTCTTTGGCCCATCCAGCACCTCAAAATACACGGGAATTTTACTGTTCCACCAAATACAAAGCACCATCGTTTTTCCGTGGATATTCGGTTTTGGAGTCGGTTTTGGCGGTGCACCGCCGTGGAACCACAGCCTTTTTCTCGTCGTAACATCTCCACTTTTCATCTGACCTAACAATGGAGTCGAGGAAACCGGCGGTCTTTGCGTGGTGGACGAGAATTCCAGCCATTGTAACTCGAGCCGCCTTGTTTGCGTCGCTGAGCTGATGTGGCACCCATTTTCCACACCGATTCGTCTTACCAATTGCGTGCAAATCCAAATTCATCACTGTCTCGGAAGCGCTGACACCAAGTCCGATGTGACGTTCGGACAACACGTCATCGCCGAATGCTTTGCACAGAGCACGATGAGATTCCTCAGCCTTTCTGCCTTGTTTAAAATCATCCAATAAGCAAAATTGCACTCGAAATTTTTGGTCAATCATTTTCTAGAAGCTAAAAATTACTTCAAATTAATCAAACACGCATGAGTCATAAATCAAAAGACGCGCAAAGAGACGCTCTTCCAGATAGACAAATATATTCAATAAACTTTTATTATGTCCAAAAAATAAACAAACAGGTGTGACGGAAGTTGCATCTGCACCAACCTAATATCTTTTAGTTACTTCTATTTTATTGCCGTTTTTGATTTGGCTCATTGCAACTCCTCATTAACGTTTCAGCATTTTGCATCTGTAGAAAGAATTTCCCCGGGAGAGTGCATTTATCTCGGACAGAACTTAATGTAACCGGCAATTGGCTTCGAATTTTTGTGGAATCCAAACACCCAATGAAAGTATGGTGCCAAAAGGGACCAAGTTCTGCCTAAGAAACATGAAGATAAAAAAACGAACCAAAACACAGCCTGATGAATTCCCAGCAGATAAATCGGTGAAAATTATCGCTTTTTATTGAAGAAGTTGAACTTTTAAAACTTCATTCATTCCTTATAAGACTTGAAACGTGATTGTTGCTCTTTTTTTTTAAATTTTTTGGACTACTCAGCCAGGCTTTTCAAAATTCTAAAAAAAGTCACGGTTTTTCTATTCTATGTAAAATCACACGTAGATTTTATGATTATTAATGTATTGTCTTAGAAAGCCAAAAAGATGCATTAAGCGCAACACTACGGGTGTCCTAAAAGTTTGGAAACTTTTCAAAACTGGTTCATTTTTGTGTTATTTATGCAATTCTTTTTGCATCTTATCTTCTATTAATTATTTGAATTTATTTTTGCCATCTCTTTTAACAAAAAGTACACCCAATCGTCCCCCGCCCCCAGTTGATTTTGTACACAAAAACGGGGAAGTGCTTCAAAAATTTGATCGACTTTGAACCAAACAAGTAAATTGAAGTGTCCTTTAAGAAATACAATATAAATTTTATCCCAGAAGACTTTATGGTTTATGAATTCTTTGTATTTTCATCTTGAATTGCATAAGTCTTCGAGTTTGAATTCTACTCATCCTGTTTCAAAATACGTTGTTCCAAGAAAAACCAAAACTAATCAAACGAAACTATAGTAAGTTCGGTCCAAGACAAATGTCTTCCCCCGGGGGAATTGTTTTGAAAGAATTCAAAATGTTAAGACGTTCGTGTTGAGTTGCGATGAGAGAAATCGAAAACGGCAAAAAAATGGAAATACCGTGCAGAAATATGTGATTTCTGTTTGAGTTTTAGTTATTAGAATTGAACTTCAGAGTATGGTGCCAAAAGGGACCAAGTTCTGCCCAAGAAACATGAAGATTAAATAACCAACCAAAACACAGCCTGATGAATTCCCAGCAGATAAATCGGCGACAATTATTGCTTTTTATTGAAGAACTTGTCTTGGGCTGCGATCTTTTAAAAATAGAGTTGAAATGCAAAGTGTCACGGAAATCCTCGGGTATTCAATATAATTTTCTGCTTTCAAATTGTCCCAGTCCCACTGGATGCTCACCTTCCTTTTTGTCTTGTCCAATCAGGTGTCCGCCTGGACTGCAACGGAAACAGTCAGCTGTTATCTAGTCCAGATGCAAAAGTTTGTTTTAAGGCATTAAATCGTAGCCATCTGATCGCAAAAAAAAACTGAAATCTTGTAGCTGTAGCTCCACAAAGTCCACTCATTTTACAAGCTGACTAGAAATAACGGAAGGGCTTTTGTGGTGCGAAAAAAATGCTGAATTTTTCTCGATGACTCAAAAACGGAAAGGAGTTTTAGAAGCTAGACAAGTTTTAGATGTTTTCTATCAAAATATTTTAGCCATTAATATTTTTCATTATTCACACAGTACTTGTTAAGATAGACTGTCAAAACCAATATTGAAAACCGGTTACGTAACGTAACTAAAATTTTATACTTAAAAAATATGCAATTTTTTAAAATAACAGCTTTACAGTACTCTTGTTATCAAAAGGTTGGCAAAAAAGAAGATTCAAAAAATACTCGTTATTTCTGGTCACGCGATCCTTTATAAACAGAGTTGAAATGCAAAGTGTCACGGAAATCCTCGGGTATTTAATACCATGTTCTGCTTTCAAATTGTCCCAGTTCCACTGGATTCTCTTCTTCCTTCTTGTCCAATCAGGTGTCCGCCTGGGATGTAACTAAAAAAGTCAGCAGTTATCTAGTCCAGATGCAAAAGTTTGTTTTAAGGCATTAAATCGTAGCCATCTGATCGCAGAAAAAACTGAAATCTTTTAGCTGTAGCTTCACAAAGTCAATTCATATTACAGGGTGACTAGAAATAACAGAGTGGTTTTTGTGGCGAGAAAAAATCCTGGTCTTTCTCGATGACTCAAAAACGGAAAGGAGTATTAGAAACTAGACAAGTTTTAGATATTCTCTATAAAAATATTTTAGCCATTAATATTTTCAATTATTCACACAGTACTCGTTAAGATAGACTGTCAAAACCAATATTGAAAACCGGTTACGTAACGTAACTAAAATTTTATACTTAAAAAATATGCAATTTTTTAAAATAACAGCTTTACAGTACTCTTGTTATCAAAAGGTTGGCAAAAAAGAAGATTCAAAAAATACTCGTTATTTCTGGTCACCCTGTACAGGGTGTGGCATATATAGTGTTGCGATCTACAAAAGTCTGCTTATCTCAAAAACCAAAAGAGACATTTTTTTCGTTCAGATATTAGGTTGGCGGCATTGAAATTTCGTTTGGGTTTCTCTTTATGGACTTTAACACTTTGGATACTATTACCACCGCAATCTCTTCTGTTTTAAAGATCTAATTGCTGTGCTTTATTACGCATCTTTTCTTTGTATCCAGTTGAAGAATTTTAATAAAAAAATCTTTTAGATGCTAGACGATCTCAAATATCGACTTCGCATTTGCATGCTGTACGATTTCAAACATGAAAAAAAAGCAACTGAATAGCATGAATCACTTTGTAACGTATTTGAGAAAGATGTTATCACTGTTCATCAA